ATTGATGCAGTAAGAAAGAAAAAAATTTGTTTTAAACTTTTCTGATTATTACTAATACATCATACAATGATTGACCATCGAAATACACAGAAATTAATTCGAGCAAGCGAGTATTTTCAATATATACAGAAAAAAGGAAAGAGAAGTTGTTTGATCGATTATTAATGGACTTCTGATAAAACTATCGATCTTTTCAAGCAGAAATGAGCTTTTAATAGAGAAATTAAAAGATTTGCACAAAGCAAGCGAAGAATATGTGTCAGATAACATAATCATTGAACAATTAGGGTTATTTAACTGAATTGAAGTTCATCAAACTGACTTCTTTGTCAAATCAAAATAAATTGTTGAAAAAAAATGAAAAGTTATTAGAATTCAACGGACACTTATTAAGATGACAAGCAACAATAATTACAGAAATTCAATATCAACTTTTTCTCAAACTACTCATTGACTTGTTTACCTAAGATATACATCTAAATTAAAAATATGTATGATAATCTGTTTGAATGAACTTCATCTTTGTCAGTTATTTTAGACACAAATAAAAATCATTTGTATATTATTCAGAAAAATACTTTAGTGGCATTTTCTCCATCACAAATATTTCGTTTCACATCTTGCTTTCCGAACTGTAGAAAAAATGACATATCCGTGAAAAGTGAAAATGTTTTCAATGTGGAAATCAATTATCGTCAGCTGCAAAGTCTCTGTTTTTCTCAATCAATTGACAAACATGTTCTCATCCATATAAATCTTTTTGTTATTCAAACTAGATTGAAATGAAATACATCTAGTCGCGATAATCTCCTCACTATTATCAATGAAACGTCGATCCTTTTTAAAATATTTTCTCATACATAACAGGTCAGCTTAGCATTTTAGTGAAAAGCGAATTTTGTTGATCAATCAAAGTCAGACGAGTTTATTCAAACACTTCTCTGAATGTTTCTAATTATCTATAACAATAGTTGATTTGAAACAAAAGTCGTTGCCTTTAATAATCTTCATTGATAACATTTCTAAACTTCTACAAAGATCACAGGAATAATGTCGAAAGTATGTTGTTCACCATAACGGGTATCTCATGCTCTAATAAAGAACTTCTAGTTCTTCGAATGTTCCTTAACATTTGAAAGCCTTCAAGAATTGCTCGTTTTCAAAGCTGTTTCGAGGATGCAATAGATTTAATTTGATTGTTTTCGATAACTATTTATTATCGGAAGACAAAAAGAAGAAGAAGAAGAAGAATAGTTCTTATGAATTCAATTTAAAAGAAAATCATGAAGAAAAGGATATTTTTGCAAAATGACAAGAATTGATTTCTATTATGACTCATGACTTAACCTAAGTTTCTTCAAGAAAATAATAAACGATATCTTGTGGCAATCGATTAAACCTTTCGTGTAAGCGAAATAGATCTTCAAAACACAGAATTTGTCTTTTCTCTGTACGGAAAACAACACAAGCATTGCTATGAATTCCGATCAATTCATTTTTCTTTATATGAAGTACTGTACTTCTATCAAATTAAGATCTTGTTCAATAACTTCTTTCATTGGCAGATTTCTTATCTCGATGAAATGACTACAGATGGACTTTTCTTGCTTTATTGAATAAGCTTAATTCTTATGATATTTAATGAATCTCAGTCAGTTCATTTATTTATACATTTTAATATGAAGATATACGCATGATCGATTAGAGAGAGTTATTGAAGAAGAAATAAGAACTATAGCGACGTAAAAGCAGAAAAATACATCACAAACACTCTTAACCACTTGAAGACGGGGTTACTGTTACGAAAATAAAAGAAATTTTCGAAACCTTGAGCGAATTTATTTATTCATTTTAATAAAAAAATATACAGATCAATTAGGAGTTGATTCAAAACTAGAGGTATATATGCGTCTCCCGTCTTCAAGGGGTTAACAGGAGATTTAACAATACTGTTTTGTAGGATAAGATAGACTAGTCACCAGTTCTTTTCTTTTCCTTCCCACGTATAAAATAAACTTGTCAGTACTCACGGTATTATTTTGTAAAAGATAATACGCCACGATAACCATGTCATCATCCGTCAAATTTTGCTCAGAGAAGTACACACAGGATACATCTTTTATTTTATCGATAAATTCTTCAAGTTGTTCATTTCTATATGTCGGTGGCTCTGATAAAGCAGTCATCGTTGTCTTTGATTCTAAATAGACAAATGCGAAAAAAAATATAATAGTACAACTATATGAATAAATAGAAATTTTAGATTTCGTTGATATATCAAATTCTTTCTCCAAGTGCGTTTTCAAAACTCACCTAGCTTCAAAGAATATCGAAAATACGTCAGTCGAAAAAAAATTAATCTCGTTTTCTACTGAATTTGTTACTTTTTCCATATATGAATTATTCTATCGAGAGTGAGTGTGTGTGTGTATGTTAGTGCGGATGTAGATGTTGGTGTGGGTGCAGATGTGATTGTGGAATTGGTGTAATTGATTCTCTGTGCGGAACTGATTTCTAAAATGTTCCACATTGCGAAGTACGATACATTCTCTTTTACTCATGTAAGGAACTGTTTGTAAAATCGATCGAACAGATAGCCTTCTGAGATTCATTTCAGTTCTTCTTTCATTGATAGCGATTCTCGTTTTATCAGACTCTTAGATTCTAAAGTTCATCTACTTCTATTCTAATAAACCTACTATCGATTAGATATCGAGCTATTCAACTATTTCTCTAACTTTCATTGGACATGTCAGTATTCTTTCTATTTTCATCATTAGAATAGATGCCACAGCATTAACACTTACTTGCGGAAAAAATGAATAGAAATGAAATTCAACTGCTTCTTCTGCTACTATTTATTTGTCGTTCAAAGTGTCGACATTAGAAAATTGTATTAGCATTTTTTTTCTATTCTCTCTCTTCCTTTTTCTTTCCACCAGTTACAGGCATTCAATCTCCCTAAATCAAACAAATTCTGCGCATAAAATGTAAACGTAAGAATGAAAAAAACCTGATAAAACTCATTCAAAGAAAAGGAACATCTTTCTCTTCCTTCTCAAAGTGTTTTTTTTCTTGTTCGCGAGAAAATGCGTTTTTGCTTAGATGGTAAGAGAGTCGGTGGTTGTGCTTGTAAAAAATTATTTGCTGCTTGCATAAGATTTTTTTTCCAGTCGAGAGTAACATAAACATTGCCACATTTTGTATGGCTCTGTTTTTCTCTCATTCATTCTTTCTGCAGAGAATAAAACTCTTCGTTGCCAACAACATTGACTATATCAAAGGGTGTGGGTGTTGATTATTCATCAATACCTGTACTCATTTGCATTGTGAGTTTGTTTTTGCTCATGTATTTTCAAATTTTTCTTTTACATTTCTCACTCTTACATAAGATTGTATAACATTAATTTTCTATGATCATATTTTTTTTCAAGGCTTTATTCGAATATCATATGTTGTTATCAAGCATAGAAAAACTCCATTTGTTTTTTTAATCGACTATTTTTATATGTTTTCAACGCACATTTGACTAATGATATAAATTTCCGTATTCTTGTAGCTTTTGATCTTTCAGATGATTTTCATGCATTTATATATCTCTTTTTGATAATCATATAATTTATAAAATATATCTCTTTTTGATAATCATATAATTTATAAAATGTATCTTGTTTGTGATAATCAACAAAACCATTTGACAATCATCTTGTATATAAATTATGTAATATTAAAAGTTGTTCTATCTGTTTCTTTTATATTTTTCAAGCATATAAATGTTCGATAAAAATAGTAAAATTAAAAAACAATGCCGAGAGGTAAAGTAATGAAAAATTAAAAAGCCGATCAATGAGAAATATTAATAAAAATATGGGTGGATGTAGGTCAAAAAGAGATGAATCCACACTCATGCCGTAGTGTGTCTTCCAAAGTTTTCGAGGTTTTTTTATAATATGGTTAGAATGATAGTCGCCAATTACTGCTTCAATAATTTTCATTAAATGACATTTGAAAAGGCAAATATTTATATCTATGCTAAGTTTTAAATGATTTTGTCTATATAAACTTTAGATAATTGTTTGTTTGAAAAAAATATCTATCAAAAAAGGAGCAAGAAATTCTTTTTCTTCTCGTTCATGTTAAAAAATGAAAAACAATTCAAATTGAAAAAAAATTGTTTTTTTTCTTTTCTTACTATTCTCTGAGTAAGATAACAAAAGATTGTGAAGAAATAATGTTGGTATAGTTTTCGAAAAATAAAAAGAAGTATAAAATATAAACAACTTTGACTATAACTAAAAAACACTTTCTAGTTCATGTATATCAGAGATGGGATCGGTTCGTGTTTTTCTCGAACCGAACCGAACCGAATCGAACCAAGCCAGAATTTACAACAATCTAACGAATATATTTAAATATCAAATTTTGAACGAATTGAATGTCTCGAACTGGTCCCATCTCTGGATAGTACTTGAGTTTCACTTGACTGCTAAATGCGATGCGAAGCTCGATTTCAAAATAATGATTTTAAGGTTTTCACAACATTATCTGGATGATTCATTATCTATGATCAACTGCAGTTTCAGCTGTGAAATAATTGTTAGAGAAAAGTGACGCTTCACTTTTGCTTTTCATTTTAATTATCTCGAAATTTAAAAAAGTTCGATCTTAATATATTAATCTCACATTCAAACGGATTTTTTCCGATGTTCCATTACCGAGATCATCCCGTCACAAAAAGATCATTTTGAATGTATACGTCGACAAAAAAAAGAAAGAAAGAAAGAGGAAAAGAAGATTTGCGAAGAACGACGTAAATGCTCTACTTCGCATCGCATTAAAAACGTTCTTTTTTATACGAAGATGTACGACGCTGTACAACGATGTACGACCTCGTATTTTAATGACGTACGTCGTACTTTTACCTTTCCTTTGCACATCGCACATTTTTTTGACTATAAAAACACATACAAAATATTATTCCTCTCATTCTCTTTCACAATATGTCATCAATCAAAGAACGTGTATTTGTCACTGCAGCTACTGGAAACATCGGTATTGGTGTTGTGCGTGGTCTTGTTAAACAAGGAATCGATACAACAGCCTATGTACGAGATGAACAAAAAGCCAAAGATCTATTTAAATAAATGCGTAACCTCGGATCTTATCCGAGAGTTATGTGTACTGCAAAAAGCGGAAATAGATATTGACCTGCTTTTTTTATTCTTAGTCAACAATAAACAGTTCTAACAGCAGTGTCAGTATATGTGACTTTTTCAGAGTTTTCGGATAGTGTAATAATGAAAAAACCTCGAACGCACCATATATAACCCCCCTATCGTCATTCAGAGCTCTTCACAAATTCTATCTACTCCAAAAACACTAGGTAAGAGGAGTTATTTTTAATTGAACTTGCGTTTATATCTAGAGGGATTACGATCATAAGCAACCTCATGAATCTATAAGAGATATATGGTAGATACAGACATCAGTATTTTCATAATAACTCAACAATATTAATAGCTATCGAGCTTGAGCTTTTACCTTTCAATAGTCCTTTTGACTAACTACAAAACCAGGTATTTGAAAAAACCTCAAAACTACTAGTCATCTGAGACATATCTAGGCAATTTGGTGTCTGGATACGGTTTTTGTGCATTTTGCGACCCTTTTCAGGCAATATTTTGTTAGAAAGCTACGATTTGGTTCAAAACTAATATCAGATTCGGAATCAGCACTAAAAACTGAGTCGATTTATATATGGTGTGAATAATTTTGAGGATAATATTTTTTTTGGAAAAAAGTCCCTGTACCCCCCCTCAGGAATGGTCTGATCAATAATGAGAATTTTTTTTATAACTCAGCAATGGTACAACCGATTGAGCTCATCTTCGAACTCGACCGAGATATCAATGAGACTAAACTGTATAGAAAATTTCACCTCAGTCTGATTCTCCTTTCGTGCGTTATCGTGTAAACGGCCGGACACACTGACCGATTCTAGTAGTGTACTCACTTTTTGAGTACACAAAAAGAGCTCACTACTGGTCATCTCAAGTTAGTTGTTGGTAGCTATTCATCTATTGATGTATTCACAAAAGCAATTAAAGGACATACTCGACTCTTCCTTCTCGTTGCTGCTCATGGTTTGAAACCATGGTCGATGAGTCAAATCAAAGGAGCTCTTGGTAGAATCGCGTTTGAACAAGGTGTTCGTCAAATTGTCGATCTCTCGTCAGCTTTTGTTAGTAGCTATGGTAAGAAAGGCATCATCGGATATGTACATACAGCAGCTGAAGAAAAGCTATGGACACTTGCTGATGAAAATCCTGAACAACGTTCACTTGTTGTACTTCGTCCTGGAGCGTTCATGACCAATCATTTTAGGGGTGATGTTCATACAATCAAACACCAAAATAAAATTGCCTCTTGTGCATCACCTTCATCGAAATCAACTTGGATTGATACAAAAGGTGAGTGGAAACAACTAGAATTTATCAAATATCAAAAATATATTATCAATTAATTGTTGACAAGAAATCTAAAACAGTTTTTGATGTCATGTGATATTTAACAATGATAGATGTTTATATATTTTCTTTTTTTTTTCTTCATAGATATCTCCGATTGTGCTGCAGTTGTTTTG